CGCGCTTCCGTTGTCAGCTTTTTCTGCTGCTTACGACAACGCTGCTGCCACTGTCGCTGCCTCGGCCGCTGCTTCTGCTTCTGCCACTGTAGACGTCGACGTCGATTGTTGCATGTGACCGGCGTTGGCAAAGGACCCCATATTCTATGGGTCCTTGCGAGCACTGCAATTGTCGTGGTCGTCTTCAGTTCTGTTGGGCTTGGCCAAATATATTGGTCGAGAGCGCGGCGTCGTGTCGAGCCCGCGATTTGAAGCGTGTCCGCGCGAATTCCTTCTATCTGCCTGCCAACTGGCAATTGCCAAAGCGTCCTTTGGTACCGCGTCGTGATTCGCAACGCCAGATGCCGTTCCTAGCCGTGCTCAGCTGGTCAGATCTTGGCACGTGCAATGGCCGAAGTAACAAGATGGCTAACAAAGAGCGTCATCGAACAGCAGCAAAAAAAACAACAATTTAAGGATCTGCACACACACACACATACACACTATTCACAAGCACACACACATCAATAGAGTATAGCTTGTGCTATGATTAAGAAATTATATTTGTAGCTTCGCTGCTTACTTGGCTTCTCTGTATTTATAGAAATATTTTTAAAATGTTGTAGTTTTCCGCAGTTATGTTTAATTGTAATATTTTTTCAAATATTTTTTTAAAAAGTAATAGTTATTATTTGAATTCAATGTAAAAAATATTATTATAATAAGTTTTAAGCTCATTTTATTAAACGATTCTTATTAATTCATGACTGTTTCTGTTTGTTTAAGCTAAACAATTTTCATATTAAGGATTAAGAAATTAAATTTGTATTATTTTATTATGATTATTATTTTCGAGTCCTAATATGATTAGCAAATTAAATTTGTATTATTTTATTATGGTTATTATATTTCTATATTTGTTTTAGAATAAATTCCCATATTTTCGTTATTATATTTTACATTTAAATTCCGTAAAATTGTAAACATTTTCATTCTTCTGGTTTGTTTTGTTACCAAATGTTTTGTTGTTTAAGAACTGCGTTGATAGAACGGGCTTAAGGAGTCCCACTGACCAACTTACTACATTGCTGTACCCTTCCTATTTATTGTGTTTATGCTTTGCACTCTTATGACCCCAATTCGCAGCCTGGCTTTCTCATAATGCACTTGTTTGTTGGCGACTTATGTCTTTGGGAAAACAAAAGCCATGAAATAAATTCAAATTTTCCTTCCAGCTATTTAACATTCTTTTACAATGCAAACGATGGAATCTTTGAATTATTTGAAACTAACTTGAGTTCTTCTAGAACAAATTAAATAAATAGCTCAGAATTATGTTATTTCTAAAAAAAGATAACATTTCATTTAAGAATTTGGTATAAGAAATGAAAAATGCTTTGAAATAAATAAAATGGTTTAATTAAATTATTGTCTTTACGAGTATATATACATTTATGTATTTATTTTATAGCTTTGAGTATTTAATTATTTTAAAATGAAATCTTATTTTAGTCTAATTGAATTTTCTATAATTTATTGTTGATTAATTGTTTAATTTTAATTTACGTTTTTGGCGCATCGCAATTCGACTGTCCATAATTCTTTTTACATATTTCTTTAAGATACTTACTATGTATATTAATTATTTTATTTGTGAACTTCAAATGAATTTATAAATATTAAAAATTATTGAATAGTTTTTGCATTTTACTGTCTTTTTACGTATTTCATTAAAATATTATATATTTCGAACAGTATTTCAATTTAATATATAAAGTATTTTAAATTCTTTAAGCTTATTCTGAAATCATTTAAATGTTTTTAAGCCACGAATTCGCTACACTTGTTGCCAACTTATTTGAAGCATCTTGATTTCGCTTTCCTAACAGGTCCTGCCAATGCCTTTTGTAATAGTACCAGGACATTTACATGCATAAACAATTACTAAAGTTAGGAACTAGATTTGCTAGCAAATGCTGCTGACCTGACCTTTAATGTATTGCGTTTCTTGTCCAACATATCGAAGGCAAATACGGACAGCTTTTGAGTCAACTAAACTATTTTCTTTTTTTAAATATATACATACTTTGTGTGCATGTGTTTGTATATATGTACACATGTTAGATGCCGCAGGCTGTTTGCAGCCTTTTACACACACGCCTGACTTTAGTTGCAACTGCAACAAATGCCGCGCGGCAACTTCTTAAGAACACGACGCCTGACGACACACAAATGCATGTGTATATATTTATCTGTGTGTGTGTGTGTGTATATATATATATACTGGCGCTCACGTACAAAAGCTGATGCAGTAACAGTGGCAGCAGCAACAGCAGCAGCAGCTGAATGAAAAAAATAAAAAAGGCAAACAAGAGCAAACCGTATAAAAGAAAATCAATCTGCACCTCACAACCCACACGAGCATTTTTCCCAGCCATCCTTTTCCTGCGGCGCATTTTCCTTACAGCTCATACTTTTTTTCATTCTTTTGCCGTTTCTTACAAGAAAATGCTGCACTGCGCTCGTGCTGCAAATGTATGTCCTTACAAAACGTGAACGTGTACAAAAAAGGAGCAAAAAATTATAAAATATAAAAAAGAAACGAGTCGCTGTGTGCGGCAGCGTTGAGCACAACAAAACATTCCCAACATACAACAGGAGTCTCAGTTAGCACACACACACACACGGTTGCATGTACAATGGGTGTGTGTGTGTGTGTTGTATGTTTTGTATACATATTTCAGTGCTTCGCGCGCGTTCGCCAATTCTTTTTGCGGCATCGCTTCATGCCTTCATCTGCTGCACTTTGAGTTTCAGTTGTTGCAAGTTATCCTGCGCTCGCTGGCTGCCTGAACGGACTGACTGACTGATGCCGTGCCAGACAAACACACTCACACCAGCCCACACCCACACACACCTACACAGGCGCACACAGACCAAGCAACGCTCACAAAAAGACGCTGGCCTTAAATGCCAATTGTTGTAGCTGCCCATTGAACTTAAAGCGGCTTAACTGTTTCGCGAACGTTTTATTGTTTCCCCATTTAAGTCCGAGTGGCAACGTGGCGTATGCGCGATACGGCTATAAAAGCCAAAACGAAAGCAAATGGCGTAAATGAAATGTGCGCGCAGTGTTTGTGTGGCGCACACACCATATTATTGCCACACAACACGAGTGAGAGTGCGAACAACAAATGCGATTATAAAAATTAATGATGTCATCGTAATTGCCCGGCAATAGCAGCTAACGAAAGTTCCTCAAGAAAGTGCAAAATACTTTTAAGAAATAATATAATGCCAATGTAAACTAACTTCATGTGCAAACTGCAACACAAAGTTCCTACAATTAGTGCAAAAAATAAAACAAAATCAATTTTATATAAATAAAAATATAAATATATAATAAAAAATTTAATAATCTTAATAAATCGTAGAAATAAATAAATAAAAATAAAAATATATAATAAAAAAATTAATAATCTTAATAAATCGTAGAGAAATAGAGAAATTATAAAATGCAATATAAATGCATTTTAAATAAATAACTTACAAGTAATGTAAGTAAGCTGCAAATTTAAAAAGGTGTCAAAGGAAAAAATATATACTCTATCAAAAAGTTGGGATTGTAAAAAGAAATATCGTTTAAATAAGAAAACACAACGATTTTAAGTTTAATAATCGTTTCGAATTAGAATATCAAATTTTATATAACATTTCCGATATTTCATTGCTTATAGGGAAATCGTTCATAGTTGCGAGTGACTGTAATCTATTGACTTACCAAGCTTTAACTTCATTACCTTAACTTGACCTACTTATGAGCTTGTAGCTATTCTTGCTTTATTTTAATTAAAATTATTTAAAAGGCATACAAGCTACATATATAAAATACAACTCAATAAAGATAGTCTATATTTTGTTTTTTCATATTCATTCAAACATTGACATTTTTAGATCGGTATGGTAGTATTTTTTTGTTTATCTACTTTTTTGTTTATTGCTGAAACATGTAACAAAACAAAGAAAATAAGAAAAACAATGTTCCAGCTTTGTGAGTGTCCATTTCAAGAGCCATTTTTAAATATATAATCGATTAGCTAACGTAAAATACACTTAACTAGAAATCCCTCCATTTTGATAGAGTAACTCACACTCCTACATAAATAACTACATTTAAATGTTCAACTACAGGCGCATATCTATACAAATATTCGACGCCATCAATTGCTTCAAACAACAACTAAAAGTTAACAATTCTAAATATCTATCAGCGCGAAAAACCACAACAACAATATAAACACACAAGCGGAAAAAAATTTCAGAAGCATCATATACATAGATGCCCTTTTATAAAGTGTTTGCTAAACAAACTGCAAATCAACAACACCAACAAACGCAAAAAAATAATAAAGAAAATGTATAAAAAATCATAATAGAAATCGTAACAAAAACTAAGCACAATCTGTCGCGCCCCCAAAAGCCGCACCCGCCCTCCACACATGCGCTGGAAACTTTTTCAAGGTCATTTCAAATGATTCGTTTCTTTTTTGTGGCATTGTTGTTGTTGTTTTGGTTGGCGCATTGACTTTGCTTTTGTTATTGTTGCAAAAACTGCATCTAAATTTTGTTGCCGGCAACAAAACAAAGACCAAAACAAAACACAAATAAAACGCCACGCGACGCGCTCTAAAAATAAAACAATTTAAATGCCAAAAGTTGAAAAAGTTTTTGACGCCCTCCCTCTAAAAAATGCGATAAAATAAAAAGTTGAGCTAAAGAAAAAAAGGAAGCTGTGAAAACTTTTTGCTCCCATTGCCATGCAAGTGTATGCATGCGTGTTTCTGTGTGTGACTGTGTGTGACTGTGTGTGTGTGTGAGTTTGCGCGCCAGTTAGACAAATAGTTGTGGCAGCCGACAATAACAAAAACAACAACTACAGCAACCAAATAGTGCTCTCTTATGTGCCGTGAAAGTGAAATTGTCAGTCGGCAAAAAAGTGTTGCCTACTTTTGAGCGCCAAAATGTCTCCCAGCGCCATGCACGAATTAATTGCTCACAACAGCAACAACAACAGCAGTGCTCATGCAGATATATTTAAGGAGCATTTCAAACGTCGTCGTAATGCGCCTCAAGATTTTGGCAGCTATATGGCGGCACTGGGACCGCCCACGCCCACAACGGCAACCGCCCCTTTCCTAATGCCCGCCGAGTTTTACAAAAGTCTCTTCGCCAGCGCCGTCCTACAACAAAAGCAGCAGCAACAACAACAACAACAACAGCTACAACGATGCGACAGCATGCATTTTTATGCCCACAACCCCTCCCCGAAGTCTGCAACGCCTCCAATGGTGGGCGCCACCGTTTTGTCGCCCTCGCCCTCCCACTTGTCCAGCAATTTATTTTTCAGCACAGCCGCTGCAGCCGCCGTATGTGTGGCAGCTGTAAAATCGGCAAAGCGCAGCCAGGCGATGCAACAGGAGCAACAACAACAGGCTAAGGAGCGGGAAAGCCCAACAGCTGACGGCCGCCAGCATGTTAGTATTTGAATAAAGAAGAAGGACAAGTGAAAAGGGAAATTATGTGGGTTTAACTTTTCATTTATAAATGCTTAAGTATGTGTACCCAAAATACTCAAAATTATTAATATTTCAATTGAACATATGTCAAGAGGTTTAAATCATATTTCCTACAATGTAATTTTGCGAGATTATGTTTAAAATTATATAAGGAAACTAAACAAATGGTTTCAAAAATAAGCCACTGCTAGTAGCAGTATAATATATCTATTAATGTTATAAAGCAATAATTTGTAAGTTAGCTTTTTAACTACTGATTGTTTGCTTGTTGCTTAAAGACCACTTCTGCTTAGACCATTCCCAAAGAGAAGAAGCCTAAGCTGAAGTCTAATAACTTCAACAATGTCTCAGAAGATTTTTCCCAAAAAACAATTGGCAATCAATTTCAAATTTATGATAATTAAAATGTTATCTAATATATTGTAGGGCTCAGGTCAACACAAAACCCCATGCCTTTCATAACCTTTTACCATTGAAATTGCAAGAAAAATATAGAAATTTGGCTGTGTTTGTTTTCGCTAATTATGAAGTAGCCCCTTCTGTGTCTCCTTTTACACCCAACACCCAAGAATATCATCAAAAAATCATTTTATTTTTCATGCTCAATGCATTAACCGAAACCCTTTTCAAAATAACAAACAAAAACAAATTTTCATCTTGACGGTCTTTCAGAAACCCCAACACAACGGCAGCAGCAACAACAACAATAACAACAACAACCATAATAGCTACGCCTGGCAAGCTGCAACAGCAGCAACAACAACAACAACCAGCGACAGTGTACACAACGAAATCAACGGCAACAACAACAGCAGTCAGAATCATCATTCAGACTCAACACTTTTGCCCGCCGTCTCAGCGCCAGCGACGCCACCAACGCCGCCCATTGATACAAATCCCGGCCAAGTGGGGGCAACAAGAACGTCCGCCGCAATTAATTTGAACGTCGCATCGAGCTTTGAGAACGCGGCAAAGTCACCACCGGAAGCAGCACCACAGTCGCAGACACAGCAGCCACCGCCCACTGCCACCGCCGTCACGTGCAAAACTCACGGCCACAACGTACCGGAACATTCGGAGGCCCATCACTCGCACTCGCACACGCACACACACACACACCCACACACACACACACAGTCGCAGACTCACGCACACGGACACGCAGAAGGCGCGACTAGCAGCGCGGCTGCTGTTGCCGCTGCCGCTGCTGCCGCCGCCGCTGCTGCGGCTGCTGCCTCCAATATGCCAATCGGCGGGGTGCAGGGCCAGAATCCGACACAGGGTCTGGTCCACTGGATGAGCGCTGTGATGGCCGAGCACATGACCGGTCAGACGCATCACGATCCGACCGCAGCTGTAGGCATGCACTATATGTGGAATGGCAATGTCGATGTAAGTATATGGGGATAGTGTTGTACCTTCTTATTATTAGATTTATTTAGTGTGCTGAACTAGTTCGCAAAATAATAATAAATAATAGCATGATAAGAATATGATAGAAGCAGACATTACACGCTATGATGTTTGTATAAACATGATCTGCCATCGATTAATGTCAAGTATCTTAAAGAATGAAATTTTTGAAAAGTTTATTTATAATTTTTAGTTACATTTGTAAAACGTATATGAAACTTCTCCGGATAAAGGAAGTTATTATGTGCTATGGTTCAAGCTAGCTATCTTGCAATTAACTATTAAATATTTCTATTAGTGATCAAATATATGATTTAAGAGAAAGTGCAATATATGAATGGGTTCCTTATGCTAATGGTTCTCTGTAAATTTTATCTATTTTTTAATACTGAATGCATTTCAATGTAATTTAATTTTCTAACTAATAGCTGAACTTGTGGGGTGAAAAACATTGTAATTAAATTAAAGTCTCCCCTCTCTCTCTCGATTGAATAATGAAGGTTTATAAGATATAGTAACTGAGTTATACCAAATGAGTTAAATTCTGACACGTCCTTAATTTCAAGCTAACTTGCGAATCTGGTTTCCCCCTAATCGATAAATAGTGAAACAGATTTCACTGTGCATTAAAGAAATTACACAGAAACAAACTTTATAATAATAATATACGCGTAATTAATGATGACAATCTTCAAAAAATGATTTGAATTTGAAAATGGAAAATTGAGAATCATTCTCTAAAGTTGGAAAACATCTTATATATATTGTATATTTGCTGGCAACAATTTAATTACTTTTTTCTCTTTTTTTAAATAATTTATTAATCAGTTTTTATCTAGCTTCAACTCTAGCTTACCATACAAACTAAGGCATTCGGTTTCAATAAATTTTTCACATTTCAATTAATATTATTATTTTTGTTGCCTAAATTATAGTTTTTAAGATATTCATGTGACGTGACCATTATAAGCACAGATACGATATTCAAAAAAGCGCAATCTTTACAAATATATAAAGAGTATTCGAGTATTGTTTAATAAACCTTTGAAAATAAAATTTAGGATATATAATAACACTGCTATTTTTTCTGAATTTGCAAGTTTAATTTTTTAGTATACAAGTATGTATAGTACATATAAAACTTATATTTTACTCTGTTCGCGACCATCCATGCCATGCTTAGAGTTAAAAACGTAATACCCCGGAGTCTCAACGCTATATAAATCCATGAACTAGTCAGAGTCTGCACATCACTAATTCATGGGCTGTGGGGTGGGCGTGTCTCTTGTTAATTTTGTCAGCTTAGCTTGCCCAACTGCCAACCAGCCAGAATAACAACAACGAAGACAACAACAACTTGTGCAGAACTTCCATTGAAGTTTGGTGTTTTCCTTTTGCTTCTTTCCCAAGTTTCTCGAATGGTTAAAAGTTTTGCTGGGCTCTGCTGTTGGCAGCGCCTCCATTAGATGGCTCTGCATATTTATAACGCCTGCCAAAAGGGCGCTGAAGCGTGCTCCAGAAATGTTCTTGGATGGAGGGAGGGGAGCGAAAAGAATCATTATTAATAATCGCACCAAGTTGCGCATTTAAGTGAATCTAATGAGCAGTGCGTGTAAAATGATGATGGCTATGAAAAATGTACATGTAAGAGGTGTACGATTTATAGAACGTGTTCAAGAGCGAGCTCTCTTCTCTGGCACCTAGTTGGCTGAATTATATAATTAGTTCTATTAGGCGTCAAGAGTTGATAAATGGATGAAGTCATTGAATTGAAAACTTCATAAGGAAAACTTCTTAAAGATTATAATAATTTAGCTATAATTGGCCTTAACTCACATCTCTTCTCTTTTTTAGATTCGGACTTAGACTTAGATACGGACTTAGTCTCTTTTAAAGTAAAGTATGAAGAATAGATTGTTGTCAATCCATTGTAGCTTTAAAGACTCAGAGAAGATATTAAGTTTTCCTTTGACAAAGCTTATATTAGAAACTTTTCACAATTAATTCATTTGTGATTTTGCTTAAATGTATTTTAAGAAATTAACCCTCACCCTGGTTCTAATTTCAACTTTGGATATATACCTACTTTTTCTTTATTTATATGCTCTAAGGAAAAGTTCCAACTATTTATACAACGGACTTGACTGTAGTCAAGTCGTGGCGCAAACAGAATGCAAACCAAACTCAAAGCATTCATGTCTTGTGCTGACGATGTTCTCCAGCACGCCTCACCACCTCATTGCTGCCACAATCATTCCATTTCCATTCCCACTTAGTCCACCTTTTCAGCCCACAAATCAAATTGCCAAGTTCGGCGCAGGACAGGGCAGAGCTGAGCTGAGCAGAGCAGAGCAGAGCAAGGCCCAACAAAGCCCAACCCCACTGCACTTTCACTCGACGAACTTTTGCTGACAACTGACCAACTCAAACCCTCGATGTCTGCTCGAGCTACCCGAACCCCTAGCACCCATAACTGAAACCCAAGCTCTCGCCTAAGTCAACCTAGCCAAGTGGAGCAGCTGCGGGGCGAGGGAGGGTGGAGGGGTGAACGCGCTTGGCAGACGCGACGCTGAAAAAAATCCTTTGAGCAGCGTCGTCAAATTTTATTTGCCCTTTTTTTTGTTACCCCTCCACTTACAAGTTGTTCGCATTTTTTCGCCCAACATCCTTGCTCTTGACTGACTTTGCGCTCAGCTGCTCTCGCACTCGTACTCGTACTCTTGTCCTGCTGCTCCTTCTTTTTTGCTTTCTGCTCTCAGTCTGCAACATTTACGTGCGAGCTCTTTTTTATTTTGTTGTTGCATTTTTTCCTAACTGATTTTTTCCTTAATTTTTTGCTGACTTTTTCAAGATGTAAACAAGTTTTTCTTTGCGCCGCGCTTGTTTTTCTCCCCCCGCCCCTTTTTGAACTTTTTTGCTTTGCGCGCTCATTGAGCGCTCTTTCACTTTTTAGCGCCGCTGTGTGCGCCAGCGAAATTATTGTTTTGAATGGAGATTGATTGTCTCCAAGGACAACGGCGGGCAGACAGACGTGCCTGGTCAGAAAGGTTCCACTGCCAGCATTCACCATTCTTGGCTCGTTTCATCAGCCGCCATTCAAATCACTCGTTAGCGAGGACGACGGGTCCGACGCACCCGGCAAAACAATTTAAACTTTGTGCGTCCGCGCGATTTTTAAAGGATATCCGCAGTTAATTAATTTTTAAAGTTTCACAATGTCGACACAACTCGAGTCGAGTCAACAATCAGAGTGGAAGTTCTGCTCGTAGATACGAACGGAGGCATTAGCGAGTCCTTCTTACTGCTTGCATCAGCGAAATTAGTTGTTGTTACTCTTGTTGTTGGCCCAAGAAGAAAAGCGCACTAATTAATTTGGAAAGCAATTGCACTTCATTTAAAGAGTCCTAAGCCGAGAACTCGCAATTGGGTTTGACTTGATTTGTGGCTGCAAACATGGAAGGCAAATAGCGTGAATGTAGTGTACATTTAACAGTGTTAGAAAAATAATTGATGTTGAATTGCTTGGATTGAGGAAATAACGCAAATAGACTGCGTTAGTTAGATTTGTCTACACTTGTCGATAGGTTGTCCTATTTCCAATTGAAAATATATCCCAAATAGAAAGGACTTTACTATCTATATGTGTCTGAACATTATTTTTGCTATGCTTGCCTATTCCTTCCAAGAAATTAGACAAACAACTATTTTCAGAAACTATAAACACTTGTAAAAATATTGTTGCAGAAATTTAAAACTAGTTTTTGATATATATAACATTTTCATATTTTAAACCAATTAAATTTGATATTGGGTAAACGCAAATGAGTTTATTAAATGAATACTTTCAAAATATTCGAATTTTTAAGACGAAGGCATACTTCAAACAATTTGTTCAAAATACTGAAAAAACTTTAAATATTTAAGGTTGTAATAGCTTCTAGCCTATTTGTGTATATATCATAACAGAGGTTTACTTAACTAAACTTTGCGTTTCAAATATGGCAAAACTTTGGAAACGAATGTTAATAACAGCAATAATAAAAGTTTCTTGTAAGACAGCTTCGAATCTATTATGATTATTTATATGCCTTTTTTTCTTTTATAAAATCTATTATATAACGAGTAAACTTGACAATCTTTATATATATTAAGGCTAAGAGTATAAAATATAAATACTAGTGCATATTTATGACAAACCTATAATAATGATAATGTATTGCTATGTTAAACTATAGTTCAATATAATAAGTAGTAAGTTGCAATGGGACTAAGAAAAGCAAAGTCAACTAAGTAGACAAAGAAGGAAAACAATACGTTTATTTAATTAATCCTATAAGAGTTACTTAGTTAAGTTACAGCCCATTAAGTAATATTTATACTACATTTCTCACTCGAAATTTCATCAAAATCCATTTAAAAAGTTTAATAAAACAAGAATTTATTGGGAAAGTCTCTCAAACTTCCAAACATAAGTATATTAAACAACACTCTATGAAAATGTAGTGGGGTGGACGCTGTGTAGTACCAAATGCAGAGGACGAGTTGATGTGGTGATGGTGTCGTTTATTGTTTCAATTAAAACTTCACAGATTAACTTAAATCGATTTGGGGGCGCGCATGCGCTGACTTCACACTTGCGATACAATGCGAATACTAAAAACTAAGCCTAATCTAAACTTATTCTAAGCCTCTGCTAGGCGGTCGCCGGTGTGGTGAATTCAAAGTCGGCAGCCGACGACCGACGGACAGTACGCACTCCTCTTACGCGAACATTCCGCCCCCCTTGCAATACATTGCAAAACAACGTGGGGACGGCTTGGGAAGCGCTTAGCCGCTGCAGAAGCCGGACAAGATCCAGCCGAAGAGGGTGTTCTGAGCGACGGGGATTTCGGCTTGACCCGGCAACAGCCCTTGCTGTATGATTTTTGGGTACACATCAGCGCCGAAGACCAGGAAGACCGTGGAAGGCCGGTCAAAATTGGG